ATTTTCAATTTCAGATTCTAAAAAACTTTATGCGATGTTGAATATTTTTATCGGCAGTTTGACCTCTCACATTGAGATTCCAAATGTTTTTCAGTCTGAGCATGTATAGACCTAAGTCGATTTATGACAAGCAACGAAATTCACACACGTCCGAGGCAGCACATAAAATCGATTGTGACTGAAAGTCAAAATAAGTAGTCGTCTTTAAAAATATGCGGAACAAAGTAAGTAATGTTCTCTTTTGTTTTCTATTGCTTGAAATAGCCATGGGAGGGGAGACTATTGGAATTTGAGCCATCCCAATGCCGCTCAAGCATTCTCAGTAAAAAAAGTCCTGGCTACGCCGTCAGCCAGAGCACCAAAAGGACAGAATCAGATCCTATAATGTGTCCATCCATTTACACTTACTCATCTGGATCGTAAGCTCCTCGACCAGCATGGGCTTCAATAGTTTTTACTGGTCTGTTTGGTGCTTCAAAATAACTTAAACAAGGAACTTCACTAATTCCAGATTTTCTTAAATTGCATATTTCTGGCGAATCATATCTCTAAAATGACAAAAGTTGCATTGAATGCATGTTGATATTAGTGAGCTAATTTGGAATTGTAAACACTTACACAATAGATAATGATTTTAATCAGAGCTATTTTTCTTAATCGAGCAAACTGCCTGTATTTTTTAATACTCAGAAATGAAAACAAGAGAAGTAATAATTATCCTAGACAAAACTGAAAACAGCAGAACGAGACATGAAAAGCTGTTAGTGTCGTATTCAGCAAAGAATGAAAGACGTATGCAATGGTCTCCATTTCTCTTCTGTAGAAAATGGATAAATGGTTGCTAACCTCAGTTGTGTTTATTTTAAAGTGAAATGTCTTCCAATTCCGAAAAGTATCAAATCGTAGCAATTTTTTTGAGATTTTTTCAATAATCTGACATTCTTGTTTGGTTGTATTTACATTAGAACGATGTTTGCAACTTTGCAATTTTCGTCTGAAGAACGATTCTATCAAAGGGTTTCATCTATAACGAAGAAAATAACTGGGAAAGGGAGAAGATATCCTTCAGATATCAACTTCATAGATTTTACGATGTTGAAGACGTATCTTTATCCTCCTATTTTCAGAAATAAATGAGAACGTGGGTTTAATTCATCACCTAATATCAGAATATACTGCTCCTTTCGCAATAGGTTGACATACCACTGCGTAACCCTGAATTTCTGGTATCCATTCTTCACCCTTATTGATAAGATTCGATGGTAGCGAAAACCATGGTTGAATTTCATGGAAACTTAAACTATCAGCAAACCATATGATCGGAAACGGGTCTGCATCTTTCATTGGATTTGTTCTGTACCAACAATTGTTCTTCGAACAATAAACAAGAATTATTTAAAGAGAAAATAAATAAAAACTGCTGCCTCTATACCTTTGTCCGTTCTGGATAATCAGGATTGTAGTTGAGCATTGTATAACCCTGTGAAGCTGGCTACAAAAAAAACAAATCCACGTATTTTTTCCACAACGAAAGACATTTTTTACTGATTGTATCTGCTTCAGCACCTTTGGGTTTGTATTGAACCATATAAGTTTCATTTTGTTTCAATCGCCAATCATTGATATCAACACGAACTCTTGAATTTGTGTAATCATACAATAAGTATTGAAAGCCTAGAGATGGTAATGGCCACGACTGTAACCCAGTTATATTCAATGTTGCTTGAAATTGTTTCGGAAAACCGGCTTGACTTGAACATTGATTAATGAATAGAGTGAATAGCATCAAGTAGATGGCTTGTTTCATTTCAAACATTTTCGTATTTCACACACAGTGGTGTCACGAAAAAAAAGTGCTTTATAAATATATTCTGTCGAGAAAATAATAAGAAACGAAATGACTTTGCAAATGCAAATGCATTTACTCTCATCATCATGATGGATAACATGTTATCATTAGAACTATAACTTGATATATAACTTAAGTATGGCTTAAGTTAAATACTCGTAATTCGTTTGAAGAGCAATCACCAAGCGCTTATTTTCTATATCATAGAGAGCAACCGATATTTTCATTCGAATTGAAAGTATGCACTACACCCAGCTAAGAAACATTTGAATAAAAGCTGTGAATGAAAAAAAAACAAGGTGCACGCTATGACTCAAACGTTATCAGGTGACAAAGCAATATCATTCAATAAATTCTATTTACAAACAAATAAGTCAAGATGATTGCCAAATTTTTTTTACAAATAAAAATGTAGACTTGAGCTCTACCACCGAAAGAATATTATATTATTTAATTCAAATACAGTAAAAATATTCGAATATTTTGTTGTAGAATTATTTATGACGATGGTTGCTCGCGAAAAAATAGACACATATGTAGAGGTAACTTTCGTCGAAAAAGAAGTCTTCAAACAATATTAAAGTGTATATAAGTGTGGGTGTGGGTTTATTATTGAATAGAAACATACACCCACACTCTCGTGGAAATTCAGAATAGGACTGCGTTCATCATGTTCGTTTTGAGTGCCAGTTATCCCAATGCTTTTTCTCAGTCAAATCCAACTGAACGAATACTGTTCTGCAATGCCACAAACTTCAGACACAATTCATACCGATTTCGCCAAATCCAATGACTTTTCTGGTATGAGCAAAGAATTGAATTACTTTCCGTGAGGTAGCTATCATTCGTGCATCCTCTAGTCAACAACGGATTTTTGCTGAGAACTCGATTTCTTCAACAGGACTGAAATAAAATTCTAGTGTGACGTCAACATTTGTATCTTTGATAACAGCTCAACAACAGAATGTTTTAGTCTGTGTGAACCAGTCCCCTCGGGTAGTTGAATGGAGCGTTATTTTAGGTATGTTTTCGTTCATATTGCAAAAAAATGTTTTCTGTGCAGATAAACAAATAAAATAAAAAGACAATTTATCGAGCAGCAGTGCAGACCATAATGACCTGACTAAGAGACCTAAATAGTGAACAAAGAAAATAAATGTTGTGCTCTCATTTTATCTTTAGCAATTATTCTTTTCTCTGAAAATAGTTTTGGGTGTTTTTATAAAATTCTGACAGAGAGAAATGGTTGCTGGTGGAATCGAAAAATTCTGTTTGAGTTCCACTGTTTTTACGTCAGAATTATACAGATATTGAATAAATTTTATGACAAGTTTACTATTATGCTCTAGCTGAGAATCGTCCAATCTCGCTGAGGAATATTCTAGTCAGTCTTTTCGGTACTTGATATTGCTCTATTTTGTGAATGAAATAAGTAAAAAAGGATTCGTTAAAGATTCTAACAGGTATTTTTTTCGTCAGCTCTTCACTAGAGATGTTCATTCATGATTACCTGAAAAGTTTCTGTCTCGCATTTTTCAGAATGTTTATAGGTTTCCTGTTTGTCCAACCGGTTTCTCTAAAGAATACAGTGCTCTTTCCCTTGAGATACACGTATGAAATCGCCTTGACGTTTCTTAAAATGTAAGATATGTTTCTTTTTAAAAGAATCTGTGAGTGTTTAGTCTTACTTCATCACACACTTGCATGTCTGAGACACTACAATACTATTCACAGTAAAAAACAAGATCCTCCTCTTTCCCAAATGGTCGTTCACATACAAGACTACAATCTACGGTAAAATTATGTGAAAAGTAGTTTAAAGTACAATAAACTGCTCTAAAATTACTGAAAAATACTTTAAAGTAGCTCAAACTGATCTCAAGTACAAAGTACGCCGTTTCTGCCTTGGAATAAAGACTAGATAAGTGACAAGTATCATACTGAGGTAGTCTACTGAGAATAGTCAGTTGACTCTTTATAAAATATAGGCTGAAGTTTCTAGTAAAATATGAAATGAACGAAACTCAGTTCTAGAAGAGAAATCTAATAATTCGAATAAGTCTCCGTACTATTTTGTGTTGCAATACAAATCATAAAAGATAATAACGTTCATAATAAGAAATGAAGTTATTTCAATATACATAGCGCTTTGTTGACATCTTCTTTTCTATTTATAATATTGATGACAAAGTCTGCTCAGGGAAACATTATTCATTCGACAATTTATTTATATTCCACTAACAAAAAACAAAAGTCATATTCAATTTATAAATAAATGAGCTTCTCAACATATTTTGATTCCACTATAGTATTAAATAACTTCAATATTTTTGATTTATCATATTTATTCTTATATTTTTAAGAAAAACTACACAATAATTAAGAGATTAACAACAAAAAAAAAAGAAAAATACAATTAAATTAAGAATTTAATTTTTGCCCATATTAATGTAATTTTGATATTTCATTCAATATTATTGATGGTCCTAAATTAATTTTCATATCATCACGTAAAATTTCTTTTGTTAGTAGTAATAATGCTTTACCATTAATATCAAACTTATCAAAGGCATTAGCAATTGTATCATCAGTTAAATGTGAGCTAAATTTTCCAACTTCAAACACTGTCCATTTATTTGGATTACTTGATAAACCATAATTTCTTTTTATATCTTCATTGGAAATATTTCTTTCTTTCATAGTAACAGGAGTATGAGCAATTGCTAATTTTTCACCTTGAATTAATGAACAAGTTTTTATTTGTTTATGTGTCCATTGATCATGTTCATATGATCTAAAGAAACAAAAAAATGAAGTTTAAAAAAATAAAGGAAAAAAGCTTTAGTTTTACCTTGATCGTTGACACTTCTTTGTTAATGAACTTAAACTAGTATGATAGTAGAAATAAAAACGAAAGTAAATAGATGAGATGGTCTTTTACCTGTTTATTTGTCGATGATGATGTTCATTACTTCGTTATGTTACTTGTGGAAAAGAAAGATTATTTGTTTCTTCTGTTGTTGAATCATCTAAACATATTCGAATAAATTTGGTTTTATTTTTGAATTTTTTTATAACTAAATGTATTGTCTAATGATAAATCACTATCAGATATTTGCGAAATATATGCATGACTAATTGATGTTGGAATAATTGATGAAGGAAATGGTGTATTATGTTGTCATTATTGCTCAATTAACAATAAAAATAAAAGATAATTTACTATGTATGCATGTATTTTTTCTGTAATTAGACATTCAAATTAACTTAGAAAACGAATAAATACTCAATACACATGCAATTTCACCATTTGATGTGTTTACAATAACAAATATAAAATTCGAATTTATATAACAAAAATAATATTTAATTGAAAACTGTATAGATAGCATATAAGACTTTGACATCAAAATATAAACTTCTTTAGCAAAATATACATCAGAATCTGCAGATGTTACGTATATTTTACTTTAAGTTGATACATCTACTCTATTCGAAATATTGATTGCAAGTAGCATCATTCAACATGATACTTGAAATTGAAATGATTATCAAATAGAAATCAGTTTCGTATAAAAGATGTAATTTATTCATTCTATCGAAATATAGTTTCTTTTTTAAACTAAAGTATATTTAATCTGTTTAGTGTATGAAACAATGGACTTAGCTTCTTTTTTGTTTGTTGAAAAGAAAAAGACATCAATTTATTTGACCATTTCTTTTTATATCTGTTCATTGACTGAACAATTGCAAAAAATGATAATTCATATTGAATGATATGAAGAATATTCATTCATATAGATTAGAGATGATCTCAGAAGAATCTCTCCAACTATCGGACACGATAAGTTTCAATCGAATTTCTCTTGGATTTTAATAAGATCTCATTAAAACCTATAGGAATATTGGTAGCAATCAAATAAACGAGTGACATTTAAATTTCTACTATGAAATATCTCATTAGCTCATATTGGCTGAAACTTGTGCTATTAAGATCAGTAGTCATTCATTGACTTCTATATATATATTGATGCTCAATGTTGAGTATAATTCGTGTGGGTGTGAATGAAAAGTTAGACGGCAAAACTTTGAGCTAAAATATTGAACATACGTATTTCTGTGCTTATTGTGTAACTTACTCTTGGCTTGTTTTTTTATACGAATGATTGAGTAAGTGAATTGATATTTCTATATATATATATGTTATGGCCGAAGTTGGAATCCAGCCCGATTCGGAATTCGTCCAGACGAAATTGGAATTCTAATTTCGTCTAGACGAAACTGGAATATTTTTTTAGTGAGTCATACAGCT